CCCCCCCCCCCCCCCCCCCCCCCCGAGCTGCACATCCATCCCATGCCTCTGCCCCTCCTGGGCAACATCTGCCCCCTCCCTCTTTCACCATGGGGGGGCATTAATCCCCCCCCCATGTCCCTTCCATTCCCCCCTCCCCTTTCACCACACCGGACTTGCCAGCTGGAGGCAGCTGGATCAGATTGGTGTCGGCTGATATGCCTCCTTAAATATTGGCTTTTGGTATCAGCTCCCAAAATATCTGAGTACACCTCTATTTCTTATACTTTTTTGCTGACTGCAATAGTTGGGAAAGATTTAGACAAACTTTTGGGCAAAGGTACTTTATGCTTAAAGCTTATCTAAAATTTCTCCTAACCAATAAAAGATGTTGCTGGGTGTGTCTACGCATGCATTTACTCCAGCCTAGATTTACTGTGCAGCAGGGGCAACACATAGGGGTGCACACAGCTGCACGTGAACCCTCTACAAAAAGGCACCTGTGGGCAGTTGCTGCTAACCACCCTGCCACCAATACCACCAGCGGCTTTTGCAGGTAGTCTGTGATAGCCTCTGGCTGCTGGCGGCTCCTGTGGGTGGTCACGTCCCCTGGTCACTGCTCGCCACCTTCCCGCTCCGCAATTGCATTGTGACTTCAGAGTTGGGGCTGGGGAGCTTGTTCCCCCTCCCCCAGCTCTGTGAGCATGGAGCTGCAGGGGGAACAAGTTGAGGAGCTTGAGGGGCTTGTTTCCTCCCTCCCCCCCAGCTTCGTGCTCACGAAGCTGAGCAGGGAACCAGCACCTCAGCCCCCACCAGTAAGGAGCTCCCAGCACCGACTTCGCAACTGCAGAGCCACTGCTGGGAGATACTTATCTTCCAGCCTGAGCCCCACAGTTGCAGGGCTCAGACTGAGAGACCCTTATCTCCACGGGACTCAGGCATCTCCTAGCAGCAGCCCTGTGGTGGTAGAGCCGTGATGCTGGAGGTGCTACCGGGAGATAAGGGTCTCCCAGCCCAAGCCATGTGACCATGGGGCTCGGGCTGGGAATTAAGGGTCGCCCTGCTCCCTGATCACAATGGCAGAATGGGGGCTGGGAGATGAGGATCTCTCAGCACCTGCTTTGCGGTCTGGGAGCAGAGGGCTTGGAGCTCCCCGCTGCTGGGGCAGGGGGACATTGTTCCCTCCCGGGCTTCTGTGGTGAAACCTGGTCCAGCTGCAGGCAGTTCCCTGGGGGGCAGGGAGCTATCTCCTGCCTTCTGGTGGGTGGTTGATCAGAAGCAGATTTGGCTCCCAGCCAGGCATCTACATGAGCGCTATGGCGCTGTTACTAATGCCAAGTAAATTTGGTACTTGCATTTGCAGGTAGCAAACTTACTTGGGATTAAGGAGATTTGCTGTGAAATGAACATGCACGTATAGACGCACATGCTTACTTCACAGGAAACTATGCTAATTGGCCATTAAGCATCTCATGTAGACACGCCCACTGACAAAAAATCCTTGCATCTTGCTGTTTCGTCAATTATTGCAGTTACAGCATCACTCCACCACAGAAGTACTTGATTTTCACAGCTGAAGTTATATAATTCACTTGGAGCAAATCTGAATCTCTGCTGCATTTCCCTGGCTCTCAAGAGTATGTGTGCAGTTTATTTTATCCTGTCTTTGAGGGATCATGCTAGGAAAGCAAGATTTCTTTCCTCTCCTCATGCCTCTCACTGGGTTTGTTACTCCCCAGGAAGATGCAACGCATAAGAGACTTGACATGGCATTTTTAACTGAGATCCGAAGATGTTTCTTTGTTTTCATTTTGTATGATCATAATAAGTAAAAGAAAAACCAAACAATAAAACCTCCCAACCTGAAAGTTGAACAGCTTTTATGCCCAGAGGGAGAACTGCAGCATTGCTAGAGGAACTGTAATATCAAAAGCCCTTCAACAAAGATTCACTCTTGATATTGTTAAAATACCTGTTTATAAAGAAACTTGGGAATGAAGCAAGTGATATAGAATACCAACTTGAAAACACTCTGGGCTATTTTCTGAGCTCTAGCCACTGAGAGTCCTTTACAAAAGAGTTCTTCTGACAAAGGATATATCTGACAGCATGTACAGCAAGAAGGATTTGGTACAACCGTGGCTTCATTATCTACTCTGCTTTAGGGACATGTTGGCGTTTTATATGCAGGAAATGTAGAGGTTGTTAGTGGCAATGTAAGTGTGCTGTGGGTTTAAAAATGTTATTGTATTTGTGTCAAGAAGTCAGTATCCCTTAGAAACTTGGAAACAATGAGGACCTATATCCTAGTTAAGTTTGGTTTGGTAATGAAATAACAAAGGTCAAAGGTGGTTAGGTTCTCTCATTAGTTAAGGAAAATAACCATTAAAAATAAACTGACTGAGGTGATAAATATGCTGGAATAAAGAACCTTGTCTGGAATAATGTATGGGTTGTTGAGGTGGGTGGAAAATTCTTGTTACTTTCTTGTATGATTAGAAACATCCGGAAGCAGAAGCATTTTTTGCTTATTTAATTTGATTTTGCCAAATGATTTTTCAACCTGGCACAGAAGAAAATTATTAAATGTAAAATGGGTCATTCTCTTTTGGGTTTTGTACGTGCAAAACTCTTGTATCCTTTACATTACTATGCACAGTTCCTTTTTTTTTTAATGAGAGTAGCACAAATAATGAAAGCTGAAGATAAACTAAGGTCTCTTTCAGAAACAAGATTTTCTGTGATCTGCAGATTTCTGTCCTAATTCCGAGTAGCGTTAAAATCTTCATTTATGTCCCATCTTCTATAGGAGTAAAATTCCCTTTTTTGTTACCTTTTGTTGATGTGGTAAATAAAGTGAGATCTAGAGGACACCATTAGTTGCCTCTCAGTTATGCAAAAGCACTCAAATAAATACCTTGCCTTGCCACTTGTACAAATAGAGAAAAATTAACATTTGCTGCAACCCAGTTCCCTGAGATGGAGCATACCACTGAGAATATTCCTGCTTTCCTTAATTATTTTCACCTGATGCCAATAAAGCTTTGAGAATAACGTTTAGCAGCTGGTGCCAAACCAGTGGAGGGAGCACAAACATTGGTTTTGTACTTCTCTCCATCACTGAGGAGCTGTTGGATTCTGTTTGGAAGTTCTTCTTTCTATAGCTGTCTCATTTGCATATTTCTCGTTGGGTGATGATGTTTTAAGTAGGGGTGCACCAATAAAGGTTTTTGTTTTTTTTTTTTTGGCTGAAACCGATAGCCGATTATTAACCAGCCATATCTGCCAATACTGATCTGATAACCAGTATTTAGTATATTTAGTGCTATTTCTAAGTGTGGGGACTCTGATACAGGAGACACAGCAGTGCTTTAATTAGAGCAGCTCTTGTAGCAGCTACCCAGGGCAGTGAGTGGCTGCAGGGGGGCAGCTTCTGACAGCCGCTGGAGTATCTCCTGAGCTCCGTAAGGCAGCAGTGTGTGCTTGACCTGGGAAAGGGGGGTGCGAAAGAACCACTGCCTTCCCCCTTCTCTTTCAGAGCCCTCGTCCTGCCTCTTGCTGCCCGGCCGCAAGTGGGGCTTGAGTGCCAGTGCTGGGGCAAGGTGGGCAAAGCGTGGCTTGCGGAGGGGTGCCGCTGTGAGGGACCTTGTCCCCTGTGGAGCAGTGCCTACCCCAGTGCCTTGGATGCAAGACAAGCCCCCACAATGCATGTGGTGGGGAAAGAGCCCCTCTTCTCAGATTTGGGGGAGGGGGGCAGGCTGCTGTTGTGGCTCTCACTCCAGCCTTGAGCCCAGGTCAGGGCCAGAGTCAGACCCACAGCAGCTGCTTGCTCCCCGTGCCCTCTGCAGCCTCTGCCCCACTCCTCATTCATTCCCCTCTGCCCCCACTGGTGGCAGGTGCAGCTAGGCACAGAGCACATGGGACACTGCTACTGCGGACCCCAGGAGGGGCTACACTTTCACATGCTGCTGTGCTCTGGAGAAGAACCAGAGCTTGAGCAGCTCTGACAGTGGTGTGGGGTGGTTCCCTGGCCCCTGCCAGGCGCTGCCCCCTGGGCACTGTGGGTCAGTCACTCTGGGCCGGGCTGGGCAGCTCAGCTCCATTTGCCCCTCCCTCCCCCAGTCACGGCTTCAGCATTTGGCACCTTTTATAGCATCCACCCCGGCCCCAGCCTCCAGTCCACGCTGCACCAGCGCCCAGGACACCACAGTAGCTGCTCTGCTCCAGCCCAGCCCGCCAGTCAGGCAATGGGGGTGTATCTTGGTTCATCCTGGCTCACAGGAGGTAACCCAGGCATCCATGGGCCCCGGCCGGAAGGCATAAGTTCAGAGAATGTTATCGGCTCCGATGGCCAAAAAAAGCTGATAATGTAAATTTCCCTTTTATCAGTGCTGATCCAATAGGCAGCTGATATATCAGTGCACCTCTAGTTTTAAGTATTACAGATGTTCAGTCTAAGGTGTTTGATATTGTTCTGGTTAAATTCAGAAGACATGCAATTTAGAGCAAGGACTGATTTTATTCTGGTGTACTGACAAACCACCATTTCATTATGATTTGATCATTGTGACCCATGATACCGGATTGGGGAAAAAAGAATAGAAGAACAGTCCAAGCAAGGAAGGCACTCCTTTTATACTGAGTGATTTTTTTTTTTTTTTTTTTTTTTACCTTGTCAGTTCTTCAGAGTAGAACATGCCACTGGACAGGTTATGAAACCATGGCTTTGGTTTTTAGTTTTGGTATCGTCCTTAAGACATTTCCTAGCCTTTGGGCAGACATAAGTTTAGAAAGTGGGGTTTGGTTTTGTTTTAAGAAACCTAAAGGTGGCCAGTTTGCGGTGTATGTGGCACAGGCAGCCTGTGTGCATGGCAGATGGCACAGCAGCAGATGGGGCAGGACATAGAAAGAAGAGCAACAGGTTGGACAGGGCGCACAGGGCAAGGTGCAGAAAGCAGAGTAACAGGCAGGTGAAAGGCATTTGTGTGGTACTCGGGGCTGGTGCAGAGCTCATTTGTAGCATACCAGCCAAAAATACTGGCACTTACTGGTTTTAACCTAAAACCTACCTTCTCTTTTCTGGAGATGCCATGACACTGTCTCTGTGTTTTTGTTTTCTTGTTTTAAATTCTTAGGAAAAACACTTCTTTCATAAAGTAAATGAGCGGCTTTCCAAACCAAACATCTTCATCCTCAACAATCGTTGGGATGCTTCTGCCTCAGAGCCTGAGTATATGGAGGATGTGAGTTGCACTTGCTCTTTGTTCCTTTGGAAGTAACAAATACAAAATGCTAGTTATGATAAATTGTTTATAGTGTGGAAAATAATATTGCCAATGGATAATTTTTTATATGGGTCCAGATATGGTGATCAGCATATTAAGTCAGCTGTGGGAATTTTATGGTTAATAAGAAGGGGAGGAGAAGATATGTGATTAGAAGGTGAAGACAATTTACCACCACCTTCAAATATAATTACAAAACTACAACATTTGGGTGGTAAAACTTTCATTCAGTGGTGTTTTTTTTTAAACAACTCTCCTTTTAAGAGTTGGGGAGAAATCCCTTTCATTCTATCTATAAATTAGATGCTGCAATATAGCATAATCTGTGTGTAAGAAGGAAAGTAGTTGTTTCATATTTTGTTGCATCACCTTTTGGTTGAGTACTTGTAGGGAAGTAAGCATTTTGCTCTCAAGTCTAAATGACTTATTAGGGGCAACTGCTGCAATAGGAATAGAGACATATTATGTATGAAGGTCCTCTAGCACCTAGGATCAGTGGACACCACTTCTTATTCTGATCTGTTTCTCAGAAATGCTTGGTTACAATTTGATGCTGTCTCTGCATGACGTTTCCTCCTTTTTTTCCAACAGGTTCGCAGGCAGCACATGGAGCGCTGTCTGACTTTCCTAGTTGATGAGCTCAAAGTTGTTGATCCTGCAGAAGCACAGAATCGCATCTTCTTTGTTTCAGCCAAGGAAGTTCTGAGTGCTAGAAAACAGAAGTCCCAAGGGTTGCCAGCGGATGGTATACATTGCACCCTAGTTCCTTTTCCCTTGTCTGTAAAAAAAAAAAAAAAAAAAAAAAAAAAAAAAAAAAGG